AAAATGATATGCTATATTAAATTGTCTTGAAATCGACTCGTCGAGCTAGATTTGACCTGAAATTGACTCAATATTGATGCAATATAAACATGAATAGTTGTTATTCCTTGTGTTAAATTGTTTATATAGGTTGGCGAGTTGAAGGGGATCAGATCCTCTTGATATTTTCTACCCATATACTATCCATATCAATTCTATCAAAATCGGGTTAGTTCAAGTTCCAAGCTGAGCCTGATATGCTGACCCGAATTGACACCCTTAACAATTACGTCATCTCTTTGTAGATCCTTAAAAATTTTATTATATTTATTATCCTAACAATGTGTTATTTAAATTAGAATTTAAGGAATCCAATTTTGAATTTAATAACCTTACATTTGAATGCCTCCATGAATCCTAAATAAAATAATAATAAGAATAAAATTTTAAAAATATCTTAAAAGCCATACAAAAATCAAACAACGGTGGGCCCTGCTTTTTGTCCGCACCGCAGCGGTTTGAACGTTGAAAGCCGACAATCCACCTAACGTTTTTAACTCTAATTACAATAATTACAAAATAATAAAACCGGATTACCACGATAATTATTGTGAAGGCAACGAGATAATTAAGTTGCATGATATGCTTATCTCATTATATTGTCACGAGCCCAGTCCCTACCCATGTGCACCGTACCTATCAATTGATCTGTCCTCAAACCTTCACGAAATAAAATATTGACTCTTTATCACCAACACAGTGAATCTACTTATTCATTTGAGGAATAAAGTCCAAATACTTGGAGCTATGTGGAATATGGACTTTATAGTGAATGCATTACCATGTGGGTCGATATGTCGGGGACATACAATAAAGTTTCTTTTTATTTAATATTAATAAAAAGTGTATTTATCTGTTGGATAGTAGCTGAGAGTGTGTTTTCATATCATGAGGTCATAAGTTTAAATTGTTCATATAACTATCTAGGCTCGCTTGTCCCGAAAAAGAAAAAAAATATGATGTTAATAATAGGAATACATTCCATGCAT